GGGGGGGGCGGATGACAACTTGTGTAGATTGATACAGCAGGAGTAGGAGCCATTTATTGTAGGACAACAGAGGTATTTATACATTCCACACAGCTTATCTAATTAACATAAACTAGATACAGCAGTCAACCAATAAGAAATGTCCACACTTAATGGCTCGCTGGCGCCACCTCACAAACCACTCCCCCTGGCAAAATACCAGGCGCCATCCAGACTTGTTTACAAACCCTAACATTTCTCTGGCAAAATGCCAGGTGCCATCCTGACTTGTTTACAGACTCTAAAAGGTATTGGTAAGTTTAATCAGTACTTTCATTATAAAATAATGGAAAATAAAATAGACCAGAGGATCTTCAAGTGTGGTCCCATAACTGCAGCATAAATATCATCCGGGAACTATTAAAAATGCAAATCGCTGAATCAGAAACTGAGATAGGGACCCACCAGTAGTTTAACAAGCTCTACAGGTGTTTCTAATGCAAACTAAAGTTAGAAATCCACTGGTATGAGCACTGGAAGCAAATTAATCACAGCTGTGAAGAACACAAACTTTAACATAAACCTTGTTGTGGAACAAATGAAAAATTGAGAAACTATCAATTTAAATATCAGAGGTTGACCATCGTTGAGAAGTAAGGATGTAGCTGGATGTAAAATACTTTTTTAACCTAAATACAAAATGGGAATATGTTGACTCATATTTGTGATGGTTCATTGTTTTTATTCAGCTTTATTAAGGTATGATTAGCCAAAAAACTGTATATTTACAGTGTGCATGTTTTGGTATACATATATATTATGAAATGAGCATGACAATCAAGCTTACATATCACTTCACCTACCATTTATGTGAGTGATGAGAACCCATGAAATCCATTCAGCAAATTTCAAGTATATAATGTTATTATAACTAGCCAACATGCTAAACATTAGGTCTCCAGAGCCTATTCATCTTGTAACTAAAATTTTCTAGCCATTGACCAACAGCTCCCATTTTCCCCAACCCCTGATAGCCCATCCTTCTATTTCCTGTTACCATGAGTTCACCTTTCTTAGATTCCACATATAAGTGAGATAACACAATATCTATCTTTCTGTTCCTGGCTTAATTAACTTAGTATAATGTCCTACAGGTTCATCCATGTTGTCTCAAGTAGCAAGATTTTTTTATAGAATGAAAACCAGACTAAAGTATATGTTTCTTCCTTCATCCCAATTTTTATTTTTATTTTTTTATGTTTGTTTGTTTGTTTGTTGTATCAGGGATTGAATCCAGGGGCTCTTGACCACTTAGCCACATCCCCAGCCTTTTTTTATATTTTATTTAGAGACAGGGTCTTGAGGAGTTGCTAAGGGTCTCGCTATGTTGCTGAGACTGGCTCTGAACTCACCATCCTCCTGGCTCAGCCTCCCAAGCCTCCAGGAATACAGGCATGTTCCACAGCACTTGGCCTTCATCCCAACTTTTGATATCTGAAAAAGATAATCTCCAGGTCTAGGCTAGAGCATCACCCCTCACTTGAAGGTAAAAATACCACAAGTAGGCATAGTTACTTGGTAGGGGGGTCAACTCATAGCCTATAAAGAGGTGTGGCTCTGAACTCCTTTTCAGTGATATATTCCAAAGGCTTCACTTAGTGGAATTACATAGTATTTTTTTTTTCATGTTCAACTAGCTTCCCATTGGCACCTTACCCTTCTTGGCCTACTTTTACTGGATATTCATTGTTAAAACTCAGCATATGCCATCAATTGATATTGTTTTGTCAAAGCATATTCAAACCAATAGTAAAACATAAAATAAATAACACATGAGCAAGCTCTATACCACCTGCTACTTGCCTATGCCAACCCAGCCTTTAACATCATGAGAATCAAAGTCCATTATAAAACAGTCCACACAATGCTCTATAAAAATAAAACATAAAAATAGACCTAGACACTTCCTGACAGGTTAACAACACATCTAGCCCAGCAAAGGAAGAGAAGTGGCTGAAGCTACCTGGGGTATCTGAACTAAAATCACACAGGAAGTCTCAGACTGAGAGCTCACTTACTGTATACCACAAGACCCAGCAGAGAACATTACACTGTGTGAGGCACGGTCACTCTGACAAGGATCTTCTCTTTCTCTTCCCTTTCATCCAGGGGCCAGGAATGAGGCAAAGTTTGATTTTTAAAAATAACATTAGTTCAAGACTTACCTTTAAATTTTTGGTTTACTTCAAATTTGACTTCCTGAATATGGACTGTCCAGTATGTTTACTCTAACATTTCACATGAGAATGTAATATTGCATTAAAGAGTCTGATGATTTAAAATATAATGCTTTGCCCCAGAACTTGTTCTGTTTTGTTTAAGGCAGTGGGAGTTTATTTTCTTTTATTTTTGTATTTTTTACAATCTCTCATAGTCACAGAAACTTTAGGTTCTATATTTTTGTGAAGTATTTACTGGTTTTATTTACTGAAAGTGAGAAAGTAACTGGCTCTTTTTTTTTTTTACTCTCTTCAAAAATGAGTGCAGGCCAAGGAATGAAATTGACCAAATTATATTGTGTGCATGTATGAATATGTAATAATGAATTTTACTATTATGTATAATTATAATTCAATAATAAAGAGAATTTTAAATATTTTTTTAAAAAGAACTAGGTTTTAGAAGACCAGGAGTTCAGTTGGGACAGAGTAAGTTTTATTTATTCAACCAACTTCCAAGAAACTAGTAAGAGAAAAGTGTCTGGAAGAAAGGTCTGGGCCAAAGTATAAATCTGAGAGTTATTA